TGTAAACTTGCCTGCTAACATCCTTAGGGTGGTTTCTGAGAGGTAATGGGTCCTGCCAAGTTAATTGCCAGGAAAAGGGGAGTCCTGCAGGGCAGCAGGTGACTGCACACTGCAGTGTCAGCTGTGGCATGTGGGATGTATTCCCTCTGCCCCATTTTCCTGTGAACAGGTCTGGGAATGCCAAATTGCCAAGTGTAATAATTTGCAGATTATTAGGTTGTTAATGAAGAATGAGCTGTGAAGGCAGAGTGTTGATTCACCTTGTGGTATAGATCCTGCTAGGATCTTCTTCCCAGCATCATTCAGATGGGAAGAGTGCTAAAGAACAGCTCCCGGCTTGTTCAAGCCTCTGCTCTTGCCTTTCCTGGGATCAGGGACACAGGGAATGAGTTGGTGGCACTGGAATATGCTGACTCTGAGACAGGGCTGTAACTCCTGGATGGAGATTTAGAGCATCAATCTGGGCACATCCAGAAGAGGCAATCACTCAGTTGAAGCAAAATTAATTGGTGATTTATAGAACCTTACAAAACTGAGACCCTGTCAAAATAGGCTCTGTGCAGAATGATAAATAGGAGGAGGCTGTTGTATTTTTTATTATTTTAAGTAACCAATGAATTAATTAAAATTATACTTAATATCCTTTAGCTGTAATAATATCCTTTGAAGTACCCCATATCACTACTGCTGGGAGTGGGTTTTGCAGTCAAAAGTCATTTCACACATATCATTTAAAAAACATATCATTTAAGTTAAAAAACTTAGACCAGCTGAGGTTGCTTCTTCTTTGTCTCTGTGTGGCAACAGCAGTGCTTTTTTGTTTTCAATTAATATTGCAAATCTAAAGTAGGCACTGATTCCAGACCCTTAAAAGGTACATGGACTGTGACACAGAGAGATGTTCAGTATATCAATATTAACATAATATCCAGATTCTGTGATCTGGAAATATTTCACAACCAGAAAAACAGAACACCTTGAGGTGAGGGAGATCCAGGTCAGGAAAAGTAGCATGAGATGGCATTTTACAGGAGATTAACCAGCTGTTGTTTTCACATGAAAGAGCTGAATTAATCAGTATCTGAGTGGCTCTGTAACTCTGACAGCTATCACATATAGAACAGCTTAGGGGTAAATAGACAGAAAATAAGAATTTTTTTTTTAAAAAATGGGGCCTTATCTACTAAAGTTATGTAAACAATGGAAATTTTTCGTTCTTCTGGAAGAGCTAATGAGAGCATTTCTTAAAAACTGCTGTAAGCCTCAAGTGCCTGGAGATATGCATATTGAGTTTTTACCCCTTCCCTCCCATCTGCCAGCTGCTCTGCTGTCATATTTTTTTTCCCTCCTCCAGCAAAACACAGAGCTGGGGAAACCACAAACCCTGAATTGTGTCACTGCACAGAAGAAGATTGATGGGGAGGTTAATAAGTTGGCTGTGCAATTATGACTCTCACCATGTACCACTGACGATGGTTAATGTGGTTATTTCCCGCTCCTCTGATTATTTTTTTGCCTGTTTGTCAAGTCAGCCGTGGGCCCAGGTTCTGCTCCACAGGGGGCAGCCCCAGGAAACTTGTCTATCAGGCACTTTGCTGTGCTGGGTGTTTGTATAAACTCCTTGACTCCCAGTGCACTTAGGAAAGACAACTGAAATTCTGCTAATGAGAAAAGGATTAGATTTATTTTTTTTTTTTTTATTGCTATGCTTTTCCAAATGTGAAAACAGCTGTGAAATAATCAGAAATGGATTAGAGCTGAGGACAGTGAGTGTTTTTTTCCTCCTGTGTTTAAAAGATATTTTTTGAATTGCTTTTTTTGGTTAGCACACAGTTCTAAGTGATATCACACCTATCACCTTGTTCTCAGTAAACTCAGTGATTTGAGTGTTAATGGGAGCCAAGGGTAGATACCTTGACTGGTATCCATACCTAACTGTGAATGTCTAAATATACATTATAAAAATTGGTCAATGGCATAAATTAATTAACATAAAAACTCCTTCACTGCCCTTCAAGCAAACACTCTTGCTACAGATATAACTTTTTGCTAGAATATAGTCATGATGGTTACAAAAATGCACTTGGACCACTACAATGTAGTGATTTTGGTACAGAACTGTTGTTGAGATTGTCAATATTCCATCTGCTTTAATGATTGAGTACTTCAAAGCATAAGCTGCCCTTGATGCAGTTGATTGTATGTTGCTTTTTGGAGAAGAAAGCTTTGGGTTTCAGCCTGTTTATTTAGAAATCATTTAAGAGCCCCTGACATGGAGCTTGTTGGAAGAACTGAGACACAAATTTCTGAGGAAGCAGCTTGCTACTGTTTCTGTGTAGAGCACTTTTATAAAAAGAAATAAGGTGACATCAAAGAGAATATTCAAATTTTTCCAAGGCTTTCTTCTCCTGAAAGGGAAAAATCTATGAAAGTTCTCAATATTTGCTAGCTGCTTTGGCTGAAGTGTTATGGTATCAAGGCAATTTGCTTTTATTAACCCAGGCATCCCTGTTTCAAGGGTTAATTACTAGGTGTTTATAGGTCCTTCTTGTATGAGCAATTTTATCCTTAATGAACAAGAAACCCTGAAGATAGTTGTGAGGGAAAGCTGAATGCACTAATGATACCATAAAGTCATGGAGTGCCACAAGCAGACTGAGACCATAAATAATAGCTGTCCTCCACACAAAACAGGTGCTACAAGAAGAAATAACATTGGTGAACCTGTAAGGTCACCACATATGGAAAAGAACAAACAATGCAGTTGCTGGGGTGACAGATAGCCAGCAAGTGTAGAAAAATAGTCTCATTCAGGGATTTGCTTGCTACAGCAACAAGTGAAATTCCTCACTGAAGAATTGCTTATGGCAATGGGATATTTTAACAGCAATGAGCTGATTTAGCAAACTCTTTATCTGGTCAACACAGACTCAGGCTTCACTAGCCAGTGATTTTTCTTGGGAACACAGTTATGCTAATGCGGATTTTGAGAGGGATAAAAGAGAAAAACATCAATGTCTCTGATAAGAAGCAGGAAATTTGGGCCTGTGCTAAGGAGCAGTGAAGTTGCCCTCATAACTCCAGTCTCCAATCCTGTTATCCAGTTAACACCTTCCACTCACTGCAAATTGTCATTACAGAGGTGGTGAGAATTAGAAAATCAGTTCAGCTGGGCTATTAGCCAGAATTAAATATTTAGAGGGCCAGGAGAACTGAACCCATCCAGCACAGAATAAAAAAAAGCTGTTAAGGAGAGGACAGCTGTTAATTAACTGTTTAAACCAACCAAGGCTTCCTTATTTAGTGCCTGAAATACCACTGTAAACATGAAATTAATTTAAATGCTCCAGATGTCATCACTTCCATGTCTTCATCTCCTACAGTATCAGTCTTGCCTATGTGAGCTGAAGGGTTTGACTTTTCATGTGTGGCATGGAAGTGATATCTGTGGGTACTGAAAGGAGTAATACATTTGGAATGAGAGCTGAGTTACTGGTAGAAACATTACTGGGTATAATATTTCAGGCTGCTCATTGCTTTCTCTCTTCAGACCCACTATTCAGTGATACAACTTTCTGTGGAATTTACTTGTCTTTCTTATTTTCTATTTCAGAATATGGCACTTTACTGATAAAACATTGCCCTACAAACCCCTTCATGGGTCACTTTACAATGAAGCACATTATTTTTTATCTCATTACAATTAAACACTTTCATGTTTTGGTACCTCTTTTGTTAATAAACAATAGTGTCTTATAAAATGTATCAGTCAGGATGTTCTAGCCAAATTGGCCATGTTCTAAAAGTGAGGCTAATCCACTTTAAAGATAGTACTTACTGAAACAAGTCCAGCTCCTTCGAGAACACTTGATGAGAGGTTCATTCATGCAATTTACAGACCAGTGTGAATCATGGCACGAGTGTGTATACAGGCCTGGGCTATATATTTACTCTTTCCAAGGTGAAGTTGATAAGCCAGTCCCCAAAAAGTTAACCTCCTTTGGATGCAGGGCTTGTAGCACTGAGGTGTGCTCCTGTAGCATCTCACTAGGACTGTCAGTATTTAGGATATTCTCAGTCTTGGCTTTCCCTCATCTTGGGGCAACTGAGTGGGAGCTTCTCAGTGAGTTTTGTCTCCTGCTGTACTTCAACATGCACTCATTTTACAGCCTCACAAAACCCTTGTTTTGGTGACAGCTCTGACTGGTGACAGGGTTAGAAGCTCTGGAAAACAACACCAGAGAATCTGAATAGTTTAACTGTACAATTGATTCAGCTGTAGGCTCCAGACATGTCATTCAAGGTGTAACTCTGTTTTCTGTTTGTCTGTGGACCAGTCAAGACATCACAGTGTGTTTAAGCCCTCCAAACAGTATTGATGGAAGTGACAGAGTGCCCACAGGAGAGCCTTGACGTCCTGCCGTGGGTGCAAGAGGTCAACTGGACACCAACATACAATTTATCTACAGTGCAGTCACCCACCTGTGAGGAGGACACCTTAGTCTATTTTAAGAGTGAGCTCAGTGGAATCACTGAGTTTAGGACAAGATTAATCTCTTCTGTCTTCCAGACCCTCATACCTGGGTGGGTGACACACCTTTAAACTCTTCAGCTGTATTTTTCCTGTATTGGAGAAAAGGAGATGAGACAACCACCTTAGATTGTATAAATCTACTTGAAAGCAATTAAAGGTGAGAAGAACCTACTCAACCTCCTTTTGTTTTGCTTTCATCTGAAAAATGTGGACAGTAATTCCTCCTTTTGCCATCATTAGCTGCCTACACAATCCATGTTCTAAATCCCTCCAGTCAGTGGTTTATTCTTGCCCCTTTCTTCAGGTAGATAACCCAGCAGAGTGGTGGCCTACACCGACTGTATCTGGACATTCAGGGGTTAACCACAGCTGGTAAAGGAGAGATGCTGACACCTTTTGTTAAAATATAGGAATTTGAATCTCACCAAAATACCACACCAGTAAAAAATAAAAATCACACGCCTTCTAAAAAAAATTAAACCCTTTTTATTTGTATATTTATTTTTATATATAAAAGAAATACAAAAAACAACCCCACAAACAATGCTGATTATGGTAATTCAGTTTTGTCAGCCCCCTCTGCTTGGGCTGCTGCCTCAGATCCACCGGGAGTGAGCAAAGTCCTCCGGTTGTAATGTCCTTTTATGATTCCAGAGTTATTGTTCTCATTAAGAATTTGTTTCTGTTTTTGCCTGTTAAGAGACTGTACAAGTCCTAATACAACAGCTGCTAATGAATACTGTCCAGTCAGTTTTCTTGGTTGTAAGATTAGAGGATTTGGTTGAACTCTTCCTAGAAGAAAATATGTTTTGATTTTTCCTTCCTGTTCACTGATACCTTTGACATAAATTTCTCCTCGGTAGTCGAAGGCAAATCCCCGGTCCTTCAGGATCAGATACGTTTCTTCAGGCACTTGGATTCTGTCACTAACACCTGTGCTGTCCATTCGACTTGCTAAATTCACTGTTTTGCCCCAGATATCGTACTGGGGTTTCTTAGCACCAATAACTCCTGCTACGACAGAGCCATGGCTAATCCCTAATTAAAAAAAAAAATAAAAAATAGAAAATCAAAAAGAAAAAGAGAAAAAAAAGAGAGGACAAACTACAATACAATAATGACTAAAACTCATATTTGCCTGGTTCGGATACACTTATCTCCAGACTTAAAAAAGAGGTGCACATATAAAGAAATTAAACAAACAAACAAAAAAAAATCTGGAAAAGCTAGAAAACTTGAAAAAGGATACCAACAGGGTTATTTTATGGGACTCCCATGTCAGTGGAATCACAATACTTCTATTTCATTTGTATTCTGCACATTATTGCCAACATGTCAGTGGAATCACAATACTTCTATTTCATTTGTATTCTGCACATTATTGCCAAAGCTGCTGAAAAATTATTATCAGATAGTAGGAAAGATTTCTGGAATTATACTTGTTGAGGGAGACCTTGTTAGTGCTATACAGTCAAGAAATTGCATTCTTATATTCTATGAAGTGAAAATATTAAAGCATTCTGTGAAGTTATTGAAAGACTGCATTTTGTAAAATTGTTGCCTAAAAAGACAAGCAATAGCTTTTTTTCTTTTTTCTATAACAGTGATTTAAGAATAATTTTAGTAGATATCTTTTAGTAAATCTTTTAGTAAGATATCTTTTGGAAAATTATTATAGTTTTTTAGGATTTTTTTCTTTTTTTAAAGATTTTTATTTTTAAAATAATGATAGAAATATTATCAAATACTCTTGCATTCATGCTCTATGTAATCTTTGTGTGTGATCCACACTTACTAAGCCTGTTCCTTGAGAAATCTTGGGAACCGTGTGTTTTGCCTTCAAAACTCTTGGGAAGTGCAGCTCAGACAGTGATGCTGTGACCCTCCATATTGTGACTGATGAATATATTTCAGTTTTTCTATGACAGGATAAAAGACATGTCCCTTCCAGGTGTTTTTTGGTTTGTTTTTTATGTTTGTTTTGGCCAGTGATCCAGTCAGCAGGAGAAGTCACAAAATTTACTCCTGCTCTGTGCCATATATTCTGGCCATTTTTTATGTCCCATCCCATTAGCCATGCAGGATATTCCATCCAGAGCAATAGCTTACCCATCACAACAATTCAGAGCTGCTGCCACTGGTCAGGTTAGAGATGGAATTCAACTCTTGTGAAAAATAGAAATACTGTTCCCAGGGTTTAGGAGAAACTACTTTTGTCCCTTTACTGAAGAAGAATATTATATGGGGAGATTAATTAGAGACTGTGTGAGTGTCAGTGTTGGATCTAGGGTTGTCCTGTTCACTTTCTGTGTTATATCCATGGCTACTTAGTACCAGACTTACTAAAGGCAGTAAATTAATTATGTTTCTGCATTCACAATTCACTGAAACTTTGAACTCCTACAATCCCCAAATAAGGGCCTATATTCTGCAAATGGAGTATTTCATATTTCTGACTTTCAAATTGACTTTGTTGAAGTCAATTTGAAAACAGAGGATACAGTATTTGGACTCTCCTAATCTTGCCATGTTCCTGGAGTGCCCTCAGTGGAGTTGCATCCTTGCAGACAAACCCCCATTTTAACTCTGGTGTTTGAACCACGCTTACCAATCCGGAGCTCAAAGTTGTTGAAGGAATGCTTGTTGATCTCCTGGATGCTTTCATTCAGAGCTATGGAGAAGTCAGCCAGGGCACACAAATGTCCCCATTTGTCTTCACATTGCTGAGGAAAATATTACACACCAATATGTTAATAAAGTTTTGCATTTTCCCAGCTGTCACCCATCCCTACAAGTACCAAGTTTTGGAATCTAGCCTCAACAGAGGCTAGAGAAGTACACTGCTAATAATGATAATGCTTACCATTATGTTCTACTTGTATAACTGGATAGAGAACAGCTTAAAGGGCCAGAGAAAGTAACTTTCTGTCAACAATCTGACAGGCAATCACGGGAATTAACAAGGCATGTGAAGAATGTCTATGGCTGAGAAAGTATAGAGAGGATTGAGATTGCTCAGATTCAAGGGTCAAAATCTAGTGAGAACAAGGGATGACCCACATAAGCCAGAATTAGAGTGAAAGAAGTGAGGAATGTGTAATTGTCCTTTGCTGAAACTGTCACCAGGAAAAGCATCAATTCAAGTGCTCTCAGAGATGTAATGATGACAGGAACAACAGGGCAAGCCAGGCAATCTGGGTTGGTTAAGGAAGAGAAAAAAGGCTCTTCTGTAGCTCATTAACTGCCTTTGCCTAGGGCAGGCAAGTCACTCCCTTGATATACAGTTGATATACAGATGGGGACCAGCAGTAGGTTTCAGTTTTCCCAGAACACCAACAGAACAGATGAAGGGGCAGGGACCCTCAAGGGAGGCAGCGTAGTAAAGAACACCTGTGGGTTTGCCCCAATGATTGTATGATGTCTTCTCATCTGTTCTGAAGCAAGGTAATTATTTCTTCAAATTTCCATTTTTTAGTACAAAGGATTGTAAGTCTCTCCCTTGGTCATGCAGTCGAGCCCTTTGCAGTTTTCATCATGCTATGTGTTTTATACTGAACATGAGCATCTCCTTGGCATCATCCTGTTCTCTTCACACCATGCTTGGTCCTTATCCTCACTCTGTTCACAGCATGCCAGCCTCCCTCAGCAGCCTGCACCTCTTAGGTGCTGACAAGGTGACAGACATGTACGTATGACAAGTATATTTAAAACATCCATTAAAATTCCATTAAGCTATTATAGTTCAAGAAAAGAGATGAGTTAATCATTCTTGGAAAGGCAGTGGAAGCTTTTCTTCCTTTGAATTTTTACCCCCATCAAGAGTCAAAGAAAGTGATTAGGAGATGTGTAGCTATAACCAACTATCTCCCTGTTGCTCTATCCTTCTTTGCTTGTGTCTATACAGAAGCATTTTGACAATCAAAAATCCCATGCTTATCTAGTTTTATGGATTTCTAACTGTCAGCATCACTACTTACTCTGTAGGTGGGAGATGCTCAGCTAGTTACACTCCATGTGTTTTATAATGTATTCTTAACAAACAGTGGAAATTTTCTGGTTTATAAAGCTCACGATAATCTGCTTTTCAGAAGTTGTGATCAATGTGGGCAAATCTGATTCCCACCCCTTTTGTGCTGCTCTTCCTGGGGACAGGCACCAGTTGCCAAAAAAACAGATTTCAGCAACAGATGACTTCTTGTTGGATGTATTTTAAAGTCTTATTTAATTTGTTTCCAGGCAAATTCTTGGGTGGAATTATGAATGGATTTCTCTCATCAGACTTATGTGAGGTTTATGGCTGTGACTGTGTGTCTGTCCTCTGTGACTGTTTATCCCCTCAGCTTGGCTTGCTTGTTCTTCAGTTGAAACAATGATCTGCTTTCTGCTTTCTTTTTGATGTGTAGTTATCATGATGTCTGTAGAAGTGCTGTACCAAAAAAGAGTATAAATGCAGCATTACACTTGCTTAAGTATGCTTTCAGTTAATAGATCCTCTCTCATCATCAATTATTGGAGGTTGTCAGTCATGTTTCTGAGTTACTGAGGTGGCTTTAGAGTATGTCTGAAGATATAGATAGAGACTGATCTGGATTCACATTGGTGTGACTGAAAGGAAATTTTTTTCCTTCTATAAACCTAAATTTGAGGAAAGAATCCATATGGTTCTTGTTCCAAGCACAAGATGGCATTTCAATTCATCAAGAAGTGCAACTGCTGTCTGCCAGGAACCCCAAATGTCTCTTTTATTTTAGCAAAACAAGTTTTATGAACAACATAAAGATAACACTTTTATTTTTGAATATGAATGGTCAGAATAATCAAAAGCTTAGCTTCTTAAATAAAACTCTCCTCTTACCTGTTTTTCAGGTGATAATCCTGACACGGCCATGTACGTGCTGCCAATTGTTTTAATTTTTTCAATATCTTGAAATCTCTCTTCACCTAGTAACTAATACATAGGTAAAAAGAAAAATACTGTTACTTCTGTAATTCCTAACACAAAATGCTTCTAAAGATGTGAGAATGTATCTTTATGCCTGTGGTATCTTCCAGTCAGTCATGGCACACAATTTATTCTGGGTTCTGGAGAACACTGATCTGGAACCCTGGAGCATCATCTGCTCACTGAGTGCATGCAAGAAAAATTGTGCTATTTGGTAAATTCCACAATGGATAATATAAGAAATGCATCTAAATTCTGCATTTCCTGAGGTATGATGACTGAATATTAGTGAAGACAAAATCACTGTGTATGTATGTGTGAATAGAAGACTTGATCACTTTAAATTGTTTCTAAAACTCTACTGGAGGAACTCAGTTTGCAAATTAAGTGCTTCTACAGCAACAATTAAAGTGATGAGACCAGTATTCAAGACTGGTCTTGTTGGGGCTCTGAACAAACTGTTCCAGTGGGAAGTGTTCCTGACCATGGCAGGGGGGTTGGAATGAGATGATCTTCCAACCCAAACCATTTAAAAATTCTATGAACTTACACTGTCAATGGATGGAGGTAGATGCCTCCACAGAAATCTTGTAAGAGACCAAGTCCTCTTATATCCCCTACTTCCCTCTACTTAGTGTCAGACTGGACACCAGCATGTCCATTGGATCATTGAGTCTATATGTTTATTATGTATTTCCCCTTCTAACAAAAATTCCAAGAACCAATGGGAAATGAAAAATCCCTGTATCTATTTGGAATTTGCTATAGCTATGGGTGTTAAGTAGGTATGAAGAACTTGTGAGATTGAGAATCTGGGAGAGGAAGAATAAATTTAGTCGAGTGACTAAAGCACTGAATTAAGTGGGAGTGAAATTTTGATCCCTATTCCAAGTCCATATTTATGGTTTAACTTAAGACTTTCCATGAAATTGAAACCAGACAGTTACATTCCTTGAAAGACCTTAGCAGAGTTCAGGATGTGGATTCTGTCAGTGACAACAGAGTGTGGGATATGGGCAGTAGTCACCTCATCACAGGAAAATGTTTTCTGTTGGTGTTAATGCCAAATACCCTGTGAAACTTTGTGATAAGCTGTATGGTATCTAATAAATTTAGAAATCAATATGGTTACAAAGTCATGGGAGAAAAAAAAGTGCTTCACTAAGAAAAGAAATTTCAAACTTTCAATTCTAAAGGCTCAGTTAAGTTGGGGTTTAAATGGAAAAAAGTCTTTTTGTGGTCAGGCAAAAATGTAAAAAAAATATTTTCCCCTTTCTTTTTCTACCCTGTGGTGCATTCTTTTTTCCATCTTGTGGGTTGGAATTTCCTGTCCACTGAAGGGATTATTTCATTCAAAGGGAGAAACATACCAAAGGCATAATATGAAATATCCCCTGGCACTGCAGCAGCCCCAGCGCCCGTCAGCCGGAGCGCCAGGGCCGTGGAAGCTTTGCTGTTGGTGTGCAGATATGGCACCATCTGTCTCTGATGGGAGGCTGCACAGCCCTGCACGTAGGGAATACAGAGCCATATGGCTACTGGCTCCTGTCCAAGCCAGGAAAGTCCAAAGATTTGACCTGCTTCTCATTTTTCTTCAAACTGCCAGAAGAGCCCATTGTGTACCTTTACCTCTTGCAAGGGCAGCTCTTCCAACTGCTCTCTTAAGGAAAAAAAAGATTGTTTCTTGTAGCTCTGCCTCTGTGAGCAGTCTGAGAGCACCATGTGTGTGGGCAAGGGGAGAAAATGGTCTTGCTTCAAAACAGCCCATATTTTCATTTCCAGATGGCTGCTGGAAGCAACAGCAAACGGCACACTAATTTAAAATTTATAATAAATATCTAAAATTACTCTTTTTAGGAAAGAAAAAAAACCAACATTGGCTGTGATGCAATTTAGAAAAAATGCTCCCAAGTTATGGGTATTTTCCTCATTCATTATTCCTTCCAAACCTCCTGTTTGTTTATTTTTTTTCCCCTACTTTATATGGCCTGTTCAATAGCTTCTTTCCTTCTTCAGCTAATGTCTATTTACTAATTACTTTCTTCATGGTATGATAGGATGATGGATTTTGATACTGGGGAAAAATATTCCAACTTAGTCCTAAATCAGCTGCCATTTGTTAAAACATTTTAAATAGGCTGCAAATTTAACATGATAGTCCAGGGACACATTTTCAAACACTAGAATGTGGTTTGTAGCCAAAAAGAAACTAATGGCTTGATGCTGCAATTCATGTACAGCCAAGGTTGTGTGGAGGTCAGATCCTGGGATCATATGTACAAAACTGTACAAAAAAGAATATTGCAAGACATGGCACACAACTGTAATGTAATCAAAGACTCTGAAAGCAGGATCCAGTGTTGAAACCTCTGCCTGTGGCAACAGAACAGATCAATATCTGTTGGGATATACACTATGTAAATTACTGCAGGATAAATAAAATGAAAAAAAAATAAAAGAATCTGTGAAGAAGAAAGCTCTTCTGAAAACACAAATCCCAACTGTAACATTAACATACAAAAATGACAGATAAAAAAGCCTAGAAAGAATATTACATTTAAAAAAAATTCCTTCAAGACTCATAATATCTGCTGAATTGTTATAATGTTAATTTTTTGGTCTAACATCTCTAAGAAAGGGAGTTTAGCCCTGTAAGTGTCTTAGAATTACAGTCATATAAAAAGCAGGTAATTGTAAAAGTAGGTTTTCAATGTTCATATATGTTTCTTTTTGCCAGTCCAGAAACTAGCACCTCCTGTTCAGCCTCAGCTCGCAGGGAGACTGGACAATTTGGAAATGAAAACATTTATGAACCATGAGGGAAAAAGAACAACTGAGTGAAGGCTGTATTTTGACAATAGTGAACACCCTATTCTTCAAAACTGACTTTTGGACCACATTCTCCCACTCCCTAAGAAAGACCCAGTCACAATCTGACTCCTCTGTGGGCACCTACCCCATGCAGGTGTCAGTGACAGGTTCTAATATTGGCTATTTATTTAGTATACTTTCATAACTGGCTTCGTCCCTCTAACATAGATTTATTACATGGAAAACAAAGTAGCAGATCCAGACTGTAACCTTGCTGTGTTGAATTAACAAGGAAAACCCCCTAAAAGCCGAAATAACCCAGATTTCCTTCTTGTGTACCTATCACATTTTCCAAACCAGGTCAATTTGTATTTTTACCACGGCTTCCATTCGGAAGCATAATTTTGGCCCTGTAGACAGATCATCTCTAATATTATTATCTCTGTAAGGAAAAGAGACAATTCACAGTTTAGAATCTGATCTGAGCTTAGGAACTCAATTCAGTTGTCTAAACATACATGTCCAGTGTGATCTGGAGTACTCTTGCCTAGGAAACCTGCGGTGGTTTGGTCCAGAGCATGAGTTTCCTGACAATGCAGTATGGGAGCTGACAATCCCATGTGGGTGTCCCAGACCACCTAGGACGTATCAAATGGCATCAGGTCCCTTTATCTTACACTCCTGTGCTAAGATTTCTACACTGGGGCATCTTTCCAGAGGTGTTCACTTGATGCTGAGAAGCAGAGTTTCCCTGTGGATAACAGAGCTGTTCTGCTCTCAAGCTGCACATCTGCATTTTCCTCCCGGGGCTCTGTTGGAACAGCAGGCAATCTTGTCAAGGAACACAGGGGAAAAAAAAGAAGGAATAGTGACATTGTATAGTGTCAGTCAATAGTTACACAGAAACATTGCACCTGGAATGATTTCTGGTTCCTTTTCCATGGATAAAGTTACTCCCTTCAGTTGTTCTGTCTGGCATATCACCTTTCAGGTTGCTTAGAGTAAACTAATGACACGACCATGCTGCAGATGGGTTAGCAGTCATCAGGGGATCCCATCATTTCATTTGCCACCTATACCCAGAACATACCTATTCTTCAACTAAACATGTCTGGGACATAATACAGTCTTTAATTAGGTCTTTTATTAATTACAGAGAAGGTGTTAGGGCCTTGAGAGTAATATTGTGTTAGGGTTTTGATTAAAACCTTGTCTTCAGTAATTGCCACGGCAGCAAAGGAATTTTGTTGTGAAGATTACATGAATGTGCATGACAAAATATCTTAATGCAAAGATTATTGCTATGAATTAATTTGAGTGGTAATCATTTTAATCAGATCTGGAAATAAAAACAAAACTATTAATCAAGAAGCATGCTGATAGCTGTGCTATATCTTAGAGGAAAGAAGTAGGCATTTATACCCATGGGGAATGCAGAGCAGGAACTTAGCAGGTGACAAGAGTTCTTCTCGTGAGGGAAAAATTTGTTCTCTGTTAAAATGCACAGGGAAGCATTCCCTGTGAATTATTCTATTTCCAAAATGTAGTTTTAGTATCTCACTAATTTTATGGATAAACTTAATTTCAGTGTCAGTAATCTTAGCCTTGTTACAATCTTTATGAGCGACCACTCATTCCCCACACAGGTGCCTGGGATGGAAGTCACAGACCAATGATACAATATTTTTTACTTCCCTTTTCTATCTGGACCATTGCAGTCTGGTGCATAGGTCCCATCTAGTTGATAAGCAGAAGTTGTTCCTATTCTATTTTTACCTCAGGGAGCTCAGGAGGGCTACACACTCCTGAAAACTGCCTGCAGCATAGAGGTTAAAATTCTCTCTGCTAGGTAATTTTGGCAGTGCTTTTTCATCCTTCCTGGTTTTGAAATTTTTTAAAGCTCTTTGTTGGCCCATGCTTTGTCTCCTTTCTTCATTCCTCTTGCGCTCATTTCAGGACATGATACCACCTGTCTAAGCTTCCTTACAAATTTCTTTGCAGAGTGTGCAAATTTCTCCTGACTTCCTCTTCATTTACCATATTTTCTTTGCTTCCGCTTATCAATATCTACATTGGGGATATATCTCCTCTTTTTTATCTTGCCCACTCCTCAGCTCATTTTCTGAAATTAACTGGACAGAATACCTATATAAATTATTTTTCCTTTCTGTGTCTTTTCCATTAAAAAATCAAAACAAAAAAACTCTCCACCTCTGAATTGGTCAGTGAAACAAGCAGCTGAACCTCATTTATGTCTCTATAAAATTCCTAACCAGAAAAGTCTCCTCAGTTAGTATATCACCACCACCTTTCATTCTCTACCTAATATTTGCTTCTGAGCTGTGTGCTTTGCTTTTAACTGGACACTGTTTTACCCTTTGGTGTTCATTGAGTTCATTCAACCAACACCTTTAAAGCAACATCTTTACCTGTTTGTATTTAGACCACTATTTTCCAGAACAGTTGTAGATATGTTCATACTTCTTTCTTCTACAGAACTATTTTCTACTTTTAGATACTCTGGTTCAGATTTGTGATTTTATAGATGTTTATACTTGAATATTGCTTTCCATCTCGATCACATTAGATCATTCAGATCAATATTTGGCAGGAAGAAGGGCAAAAAAGCAAACCAGATAATTGTAATACGAGAAAAAAAAATCAGAGAACTATTGGAAACAAAATAATCACCAAATTTGATAATTTAGGATGACATATTTGCCATTTGGAAACTCATAGTTTAAATACTATCAGGTTTTAATACTGCTGGTATTACCTCATCAAAGTCCGCAATGATTTCATTCAGTAAGCGCAGACATTCTACTCCTTGGTTATTCATTTCAGTCTGGGAATAAAAGTCAGCAAATCCAGGAATAGAAGCAAACATCACACCAACAGCATCATAGGACTGAGAGTATAATTCCTAAAAAAACAGTGAGGAAAAATGAAGTGGTAACATGTAATTGGCAGCAATTAAAATAATTTTCTTTATTTTTCCATGCACAATACCTTAACATTTGATGTTGGCATTAGTATATTAAGGCTTAGCCAGGTCCAACAGGAGGAGGCTGATAGCTCTTAATGTTTTTATTGAAGATTATATGCAGGGTTTTACCTTTCTTTGAATGCCTGCTTGTTCACTTCTCAGGTCAAGGAGCTACACCAGCAAAAGTGAAATAGAAATGTTGCTTTTGATTTATATGGGGAATGTCTTGGAGACATGAAAGATTCATTGCCAAGTACAAATACCACATATCACATTTTCTGGTGAATAATTTCTACTTCACACTACTGCAGCTCTTTATAAGTTTGTTTATTCTCAAGTTCTCAGGAAAGCCTTACTCTCCAGTAAACTCTGGTTCTCCTAAGGTGTCTGTGGAGCTCTTTGGTTGCCTGGCTCTGGGAGATGTTCCTGCTCTTAGGATTTGAAAGGAGGGAGAAACAGAAGTGGGAGTGATAATAGAGTTACTGTGGAGGACAGAAAGAAGCTTATGAGGGATCAGTCAGACAAGGCTACTAGGATAAAGTATGCCCTGAAATAAGCTCCCACTTACATTATTCATATAATTCACTCTGGTGTTGAATTACAGGTTTATTTATGGAGGGGCTGGTGAAATTATACATGTGAAAATGTGGACAGTTCTTGTCTCATCAAAATCTAATTTTCAAGAAAAAAAAAATAATTTCAACTGTAAGAATTCCAAGGAGTGCCATCACAACTCTTGGTATGCTTTTCTTTTGGCTAATATACCACCATCATATGTATTCTCCTTTGATTTCTTTTTCCTGGCTTCAACTTCTGTAGTTTGGTGGACACTTCCATATCTGTTTATGAGCCTTTCTTGTGTCATTATGACCCGAAGTACTTTTTTCTCAAAGTGGCTTTTCTCTTGTTAGTGGTTTGAAGAAATTTAATGTTTCGGTTTCACGATGAAAAGATTTATTGCTGGTTGTGAGCCACTTGACACGAACAATTCAGGCCCTTCTTTCTTCATCCTGCTTCTTCCTAGAAAAACATCCTGAACCTCTGTTCTGCTCTTTGCTATGCTGATAATGCTTCTGCTTATCCAGGCTCTTTTACAATGTGTCTTAGAGTAAAAGTGGGAAATTCTAGTTCTCAAAGTCACTTCAAAGCTCTGACTGAGAAAACATGGTTGATTCCCTTCCTGCCCTCACCCTTTCTTTCACTGAAAAGCATCTTCAGGGTCATGGAAGCCATACTCTAAGAACACTCTTATTCCCTTTTGTGGGTATAGAAAAATTATGCACACATTAATTCGTGGACACTTACGAAAGATTTGACAATGTGTGCTAGAAGCATGAATAAACTCAGCCATATTCTTGACTTGGATCATGAAGATAGAAAACAACTGCCTGAGCCTTCAGTTGCTCCAGTTTTCTATTTTTGGTAAGAAGCATAAGAACAGAAGTAATACATCCATAAGAAAATGCTACAGTACACATTTGGGAATTGATTTTTTTGAGAGCAGAGAAATTAACTTAATGGCTAGACATGAACTGCAGGATTGATTGCACTGAAATCTGGTAGATCTTACTGTCTGCCAGCTCATGCATAAATCATCCCCAAGTATAGTTACTCTGGAAATTGCCTTACAAAAAGCAGGGGTGGTGGAATTTAATTCAGTGGCAAATTATTGAAGCATCAGCAGTGATCCATGGGGCATCTGCTTGCTTCTGCAGATTATTATGCATGTGACTGTACGTGAATGAAAGTGTAAGATGGGAAACTCATTCCCTGAAAATCCATAGCACAGACATGCCAGAGCACACTCTTGGTTGGTATCAAGGTCTGCTGCACTTGCAATGAAACATTTTAACCTGGTTGCTTTCAGTCTCACATTTTCTCATGTGCATAGCAGGGCTTCTGTGGCACTTTCATACCCGCAGAGTGTAAAATTTCTCAAGAGTGATTTCTAAAGTGCCTCTTCTTATGGCTTCTCATTGTGTCATCCTTCCCCAGGTGATACTTGAAATCAGGACACAATGATTCCTCATTGTGCAGTCTAATTCGTCTGGCTACATCCATTTCCAAAATGAACAACAGAAAATTGTAGCCTTAATTCCTTTTTGCTGCACAATCAATAGATATATCAGTGCTGGCAAAGTGAATCTTGCAACATTTCTTCCCATAATAAAAGATAATTCCAACATTATGTGAAAAAATTCTAATTTCATCATACAGTACCTTAATATATATATAATATTATAATATGCATTTACTTTACTTCAAATAAGTGACTTACTGCTGCTTTCAGAAACAAATTCTGGACTTTCCTTTATCCATCTTCAAACTTAATTTTAGGGATATTCAGACACTCCATTATCATGCTTTTCTTTGTTACTGCAAACACTTTTTAGGAACACAGCCACAAACTATGTCTCTGAAATGGGTGTTTTGTTATTTGCCACAAACAGGCAATTCAGGGCCAATATGAAATGACAGAAATTTTCTCTTGTGTCTGAAGATATGAGAGCCTCAGGTCTGCTGCAGCTTGTTCCTTCCATAGTCACTGTCAGGGCTCTAATAATACTTCTGCAACACTGGGCTATCATAAACTTGCACAGACATTCTGTTAAATTCACATTTTTTTTATGAATTTCATAGGTTTTCATAGACTTGAATACTAGATTTTCATAGACTCGTAAACAGGAACTGACTTCTGAATCTCATTTAATACAGTTTGCTTTCAAAGCAGAACCAATTAGATCAAGTCTTTCACAGACCTTTTGATTTGAGGGTTGAGCCCTGCTCTGCCTTCACAGAATCACAAAACCATGGAATTGTGGAAATGCTGGGGTTGGAAGGGATTTATGGAGGTCATCCAGGCCACACTCCCTGCCCAGGCAGGGTCACCTAGAGCAGGTTGCACAGGAATGCATCCAGATGGGTTTGGAATGTCTCCAGAGAGGGAGACTCCATGACCTCTGTGAGCAGCCTCTTCCAGGGCTCTGCCATCCCCTGTGTAAAGAAGTTCTTCCTCATGTTGAGGAATGAGCAACATTTTGTGTTTTAATTTATGGCCATTGGTCCTTGTCCTGTCCCTGGGCACCACTGAAAAGAGGCTGGCACCATCCTCTTGGTACCTGCCTTGGAGACATTCAAATGCATTAATGAGACGCCTTCTCAGACTTCTCTTCCCAAGCCTCTCCTTATAATTGAGATGTTCCAGGCCCCTAATAATGTTTTCTTTATTAACACTCATTTGGTACTTGAAGACAACAATGAGATGCTCTTTCAGTCTTTTCTTCTTAAAGATGTATGATCTCAGGTCTCTCAGCCTCTCCTCATGTGTTACCCAATCCCATAACCATCTTGGTGAATTATTGCTAAAATTTCTCTCTGTGTGCCCCACCAATTTCCTGCCAGATCTACTTTTCTTTTACTAATTAGACAAAAATATCAGAAACCTGACACATACTTCATTATCCCGATCCTTCTCCAGGAAGTGACGGGCAACATGACTGGGTAAAATGTTCCGTAGCATATTTTCATTGTGCTCCCTCAGCTCCTTCATTTCATTGATTTCTTCTTTTGCTTGAACACGCCACAGAAAATCCAGCCTTGCTGTGTATTCAAGCTGTAGTTTCAGAAAGAAAAAAGGCAAAAATAAAACCTGACAAGATAAGAGTTGGGATTGTATTGCCATCCTGGCAGGCTTCTCCTGCCTCATAACCACCTTAAGTGCTGCTGAAGATTTCTGAAACAATTTGATTTTCTTTTCAGAAAAAGAGATTATTTCTTTGCCTTATGTACAGTGAGACTCTCAGAGTAAATGAGCAAAATAATATTTGTCATATTACTACTATGGTCAGTGGATATTATCTGTCACCAAATTACTTTCCCTTTAAACATACCTTTATTATTTAGATAATGCAGTCAGACAGGAGATAAGGTATTGGTAGGTATTGATATGAAAAAATATGCTCCCCTTTTCACAAGTGTTTTCATATTAAATGAGAAAATTAGCACAAGACTAACTCTAAACTCTTGGCAAGGATGTCCTGCTCAAGAATGAACATCTTTCAGCAAAACTCTGTAAACCAGCCCAAAGTATTCCCAAAGAGAACGTCCAAATCTGTGGCACAAAAATTATATACTGTTAGGACATCCAGTTATTTGAAACTTTAATCTTATAAAAACTAATGGAAACCATGCTATTTGTCATCCCCTCCAACTCTCTGTGCCTGTATTTTGGGATCAGAGTCTACAATTGCAGTTGATGCATGCAAAGTCTCACTGCCTGATACCTGCAGCTAAAAACTGAAGTGATTTCCAGTGTGCATGTGCAGAACAAAATCTGTGCACAACAGAGCTTATATATGTATACATATATATGAATTGTTGATATATATGTATATATAAGTTCATATTTATCTGAATGAATGGCAATTGTCTGCTAGCTGAAGCAAGGAACATGTTGTGTGTCACTTGCCTGAGAGGCACAAGTGTGTCAGCACATGGGCAAGCTCAATACTGCCAGAGATTTTGTGTGCATTGCACTGAAGCAGAGTTTGAAGCAGATTTCAAGGCAGCTGATATTGTAGCTTGTACAAGAGGTGACTTATTAAGGTACAGCATTACTGAAAATCATGGAAATATATATATATAGTCAGTAAACTGAAAGAGAAAATATATTTGTGAGGTCTGAGATGCTCCAACCAGAGATGATAACACCCAGCAAAGAAATGTATTATGCCAGCAAATAGATGAATTTTACAATTTTGAGAGACATCAAAAGGTGCTGTGATAGAGGAATTTTTTTGAAATAGAATTCATATACTAAATTAAAATAAAGGAGCAGCCTGGAGTGGGTGGGAATGACTAAGAGGGGGTTCAGGCATTGTTTAGTGACTCATCTTGGTCACAGTTTTAGTCAGCAGCAGTCATGAATGGTAAACTCCTCAGGAGAAAAAAAGCACAGCACTTTGCAAGGGAACTTCAGTGCTGGCTGTACTCTAGGGAGCTTTCCTTCCTAAAAGCTAAAAGTGACCGTGGCTTGATATAAACTTCCAAAGCCTGTATGAAATTTGGCAGTGATTTACTTGCCCTCTGGGTGCTGTAGCCAGCTTTAAAAACAAACTTTTTTCTACTGATATGATGATCTTCTATCTTGTGATTGAATTAAAAAAAGGCCTGTCAGGAAAGAGTATTTTAAACAATATTTTCAACATTTTCCAGCTTCCTTTGCCGTTCTTTTATGCTAGAAGACAAAGCCCATACCAGATAACTGACTTTTATCTCTACCAACTAACTGAGAAGAAAAAATTAACTATAAATTTGCAAGGAGTTCTAAAGGTATTTCAAAGATTGACGTCAAACAGGAGCTGCTGCTGGATTTTGAGTTCTTTGATGCCTCAAGGTATTTAATGCTACTACAATAAGAGCTCGGCAAAAAACTGTGGTAGTTTTTCAGAGCTGATTTTTTATTCTGCTCTGCAGGGAAATGTCACATCTCTAAGCCTAGCTCAGAATAGCAGCAGCTAATCTTTATATTTTATATAACGTCATTCTGGTTATTTATGATCACATTTTAACATGAAATACTTTTATTTCATCATCAGTGGGCTACCAAAATGACACTGCCAGCTCAGAAAGAAAGGAGTGATATATATGAGATTTGAAAATAGAAAATATTAAGAAGTTGCTTTGCTAAGTTCTTATATTTGCAAAAACTGAAAGAATTGTAGGGTTGAGTTTAAGGTTTGTTGTTTGATTGTCTAAAGAAATATTCCTGGATTTAAATCCCAAAGTGTCCATGTTTTCCTGCCCTGATATGTAGCTTTAAGAAACACCATTAATTACAAATTACAATAGTTAGTGAAGAAAAGAGAGGTGTATTACACAGAAAACCTAGCATTGTGTCCTCTACATGCTGCACAACCCAACCACTCTGCAGATGATTGCCACATGCAGTTACATTAAATCTAATAAGATGGTACCACACACCTTTTTCACAAATTTAATTATAAATTTTGGGTGCTAAATATGGCATTAACTTTAAATCGCAATGGATAAAAAACCAATAGTTAATTATTCAAAAATTGAAGGTTCATAAATATTAGCTTACAAAAATAATCCTGTTCAGTAAACCCACCTAGAATAAGACAAGCTTTAAGCTATTCTACTTTAGAATACTTTTGCAGCTTGTGAGATGGGAAGATGTGCTGGAGGACAACTTTATTGGACTGAATGTGTTCCTTAATTCACACTTTTGAAGAGGTTATTTTCTTTTTTATTTAATGTGGTTTGAATAGAACTTTTATATATATATATATATTAATTTGGCAGCTCTACAGAGATATTTAGGTTAACTCCATAATAAGAAATTAAATAATTCCATGAAATGTTCCTGGACTCTGCTGTTGGATGCTGTTAAATTGATAGACTGGCCTTATGGATCATCTGGGAGAACATGCAGGACTTAGCACATCTTAGGGGCCATTTCCAAGGGCAGTTTTAGTGCAGTCATCCTGTTTTATAGAACAAGGAAGGTTAATAAAATGGAAAATAACTTGTGCTCTGCTTACAGGCCCCTGGATTGGAAAATACTCTTAAACAGCCCACAGACATTTACACTCAGGATTGGAATCCTGAAGAGCATTTCCTGGTTTCTGCCTGATTCTTTGTTCATTTCTAATTTGTTCTGTATTTTTCCTAAGTTGACTTTATGTCTTGAAAAAGACACATCACAGCTCATTGCTTTCCATTAAATTTAAATCTGTGTGTTGTGAAAAAAAATTTCATCCCTTGCTTCCCCTACTCACTCACTCCTCATTCCCTCAAAAAGAAGATAAACAGTAGGAAAATTAATAGAATATTTAGGTGTTGGCTTCTTTTTGCTTTCCTGTTGAAAGAATGGAGGTTCTAACTTCTGGGGCAGCTTAGAAAGTTATTGTAGTAAAGTGTATAATATTGTCTTATTCATCACAGCATCATTCCTTTCTTACTGCCTCAGTAAAAAAGGGGGATTGAGAAATGCTGGAGTTTATCAGCCCAGTGATTGGCCATTTATGCCAAATGGTCTCGAGGGGAAAATCTTTAGGCAAGTCAACAATGTCTAAATGTCTAACTGTGCCTGGTACTTTCTTTAATACAGCCTGCCCCTTGATTTTTGTGATCAGAAACTGCCTCAACTCAGCATGTTTGACATCCAGAGCCTGAGAGACAGAAACACTGTGGACAAAACACTCTGCTTTAGCTGGTTTTTATTCAACACATTTGTTATTTTAAATCTAAATTTGCCATAGTTCTCTCTCCCTGTGCAATGTGTATGTATTCCTGAAATACCCAGTTTCTCAATTCCTTCTTGAGGATATTAGTCCCAAAGATCTGAGGCCCTAAATTCTGTTTAAGATCTAGGTCCATGTGAAAGGATTCTTGTAAGTGGTCCATGACACAGGTGAGTAAGTACTGGTGCTTAACCCATATTTTCCTCATTTCCTAGAGTTGTTTTTTCTTTATAAACGTAATAACTTATTTCACCGTGGTTTCATCATTTACTGGTTTTTATTTCCTTTCTGTATTTTGGTTTTATGCCTACTCAAGTGCACTGAAGCTGCCAGGTGCCTCCAGATCTGCATATGTGTCTAAAATAATGGTGACCTGTTTGTTCCTTCAAATAGAAAATGCAATATAATTTGAGTATTGCTGAATAGAATATTGCACATGTTCTTTAAGAATGTTAGGCAGTGTCAGATGTGGGCTTTCTTTAATCAGATTCTGCACATGGTTTATTAAATTGCTAAAGGTCATATGCTCAAGAGGGTAAAAAGGCAGATGGTATTTTAAAAGTAATTGTTGTCACATCTTGTAATTGCAAGGGACAAAGGGAAAGGTTGAAGAAAATGTTTGAATTACCTGTTGACCATGATAAAATACAGCTAAAAGGAACATTGCCATCAGTAGCAAAGATGCCTCCTTTGTACCCAGGAAGTCTGTGCTGGAAAAAAAAAGACAACAAACAGCAAAGTAAAATACAGTTATTGATTTATTAGTGTTGTAGTTGTTCATAAGTTTCATTTCATAAGTGGAAATTTTTGTTGTTCTTTAAAAAAAAATTCATTCCATTTGAAAATTTAATTTAGCAGTAATTAGTTCAAGAGAACAGGAGTGTAATTGGAGAGCTCCCTGTTTGGAGACACATCTTAAGTAAATTGTAGCCTACAGGAGGTACACAGGAGGTGATGAGCTTACACTTTCAAATGTGATATGCAAGCTGTGTGTCAGTCAGTCTCTTCCTGGGAGCTTGGTAAGCAGCCCCTGTGGAGTGCAGGAGGTGGCATCTTGGGGGGGAAGGTTGAGGTGGAGCTGACAAAGGGAAACTTCCAGGCTGTGAAGGCCCAGTGAATAATGCTAAAGGATGAACTCCAAGGCAGGAGCTGAAATTAGACATCCCCCATATTGTGATAAGGTTTTAGAGATGAAAGGAATATAGTGTGGGTTAAAAGAGGGAGGACCAAAAAAAAATAAAAAAATGGCAAACTAGCAAGGACTGGTTTTAATGAGCTACAAAGAGGAGACCAGAGAAGCCTGTTACAAGGGGGGTAAAGGAAACCCTTGCAGACCACAGGGAAGCAGAGAAGATGAGCCAAGCAGGTACTGGCTGTATGAAAACACTGAGATGCTGTGTATGGAGCACAAAAAATTCAAAATAAAGGGGTTAAAAGCAGTAACAGGGGGTTTCAAATATTGTGAGAAATTACAGTTATGTGTAAATATGAATAAAAACTGAAGAAAGTATCTCTGTATACCAGGGTGCTTTTTAGAAAGCAGTCTTCCCAGGGAACAGGCAAAAGAGGTTGGGGAACTGGCAGAGCCAAAGTTATAGTAAAGTAAGTGAGAGAAAAAAAATATTTGGAGGTGAATTGAACAGGGATATTTGTCAATTATTTTGTTGAAGGGAGATGAGAAAAGGAAGTTTTTATGTGGTGATAAAACCTTGAAATTTTGAAAAAAATAATAAGTGAGTAAATGAAGACCAGAAATTGGAAGAGATTTTGGGACAACCTTAAGTCTGCCTTGAGATCTAAGAACAAAAAAAAGTCCAGATACTGGATTGGTTTTCCACAGCAATTTTTAAAGAAGTATTGAATGATATTTGTCAGAGAAGGACTCTTATGACAGAGAAATTAGAGAAAGAAAGAGTAGAAGTTGAGACTAAACTAAAAGGAAACTTTCTAGTGAGAGAGATAACTGAGCTGACTTTGTGGTCCTAATGAATTTACTGGAAATGTGCTGCTATGGGGTGAGTCATCAATATAGAGCAAGAGCAAGTCATCTGCAAATATGCTGGAATTCAAATGTGTCCTATTTTGAAGTTGCCCAAAATACAACCTCCGAGTGAACCCATTCCAAAAGGACCCCTTGTACACTGGCTAAAGGCAAGAGCCTTACAGGTCTTGGCTATAAACTCACCAGTTATTGCATATTGTGGTGCTGGAGCTACACCCACCATAGCTGGATGATCTCTGTAAGGAGTTGCAAACTCTTGTATTCTAATGATTTATATAGCTAAAAAACCCAAATAATTTTCAGGGCACACAATCTTGAACTTCATTCTCCCTAATATATATTAGTTTAAGTTCATATCCTTGTTGTGAGAGTGGAGCATCTCAACTGATTTCCCTATGTCTTGGGCTGTTGGCTACTCCAGGGAATATTCCTGCTTCTTTCTCACCCTTCTCTGATAGCACTCACTAGAGAGTTTCATTGGCACAGGGAATAGAAGCTACTCTGAATTCTTCAAGATTTTCATACAAAAGAGATTCTTTGCCATGCCTGTTTAGTGTCAATTATCATAATTTTTATTTCTAGTAACTTAGCCAAAGTATTGCTTACTGCCATTTGTTAGATTTGCTGGGGCCTGCTCTGATATATATGATATATATATATGTACAATGTTAGCTAGCATTAGAAAAAGGAATTGCACTCCAAATCTTTGGTATCTTGCTACTGTAGGAAGCAAGTAAGGAAAAGTCTGCATGCAGGGCCTCGCTATGTGTAAGGACATGGCTCTTTTGAGAATTAATTGTACTGCAAACCCATGCTTTTCTCTCACTCTGAGCATCTTCATCTGCACTTACAAGCACAAGCAACTGCAATGCTACACTGGTCAAGTATCAAAGACTGAAGTGTTTTCCTGAATGATTTTAATTACTGCTGCTCTGGGTTCAGTTATTGCAACACTAATTGTACCTCTGACTCTGCAAATCATTGTGGTTCTTCTGTTCTTCTCTTCAGTTTCTCTCACTGGGAAAGAAACCTGGGAGGAGGAGGAGGAGGAATGTGTCCTTCAAGCTCTCTCCTACAAAACAGGATCATCCCTGTGTTCTATATCTTTCACAACTGCACTTTGTTTATTCAGATTTTATTCTAAAAAATCAATTGTACACTCCTGTTTTTTTAAACTGAGGGGAATTTTTCTGTTTTTCTGGAGCTTTCAAGAATAGAAATGACCAAGGTATGTGCATTGCAATGCATAATTTTTGTCAGCATTGATAGACTGTAAGAGATATGAAAGACAAATCCTGCTCAATATTTAAATGCCCTCATGAAATGAACATTTTAATAAAAAGACCTGAGAAAGAAGCAGATTATAAATAATTTTGAATTAGTCATTGCCTGTTGTAACCATCGCTCCATATTTAACTATGGTGCTATCCAATGCACTCATACTCTGGCAAGACTTGGCCACCACCTTAAGAAAAAGCAGCTCCTGAAGGGGGCTGTGAACACTTACTCTCCATTGTGGTTAAAGTTGTCATATTGCAGAAAAAGGGAAGCATAAATGGTCTCAGTCAGCAGAGAGTAGATGGCAATCATGATGAGAAGAACTGCCAGCTTCAGGACAGAGTTGAGACGAAGAAAGACTGCACAAGTCACCATTGCCAGCACACCAGTGAAGACAAAATACTGAACAGAAAACAGCACTGGTTAATTTTGGTGATCAGAGATAAATATCTATGTAAATAATCAAGTAACCAGAAGTATGGAAAGATTTTGGATTTCAGTGGTCAGCTAAGCCCTCTTAGGGCCCAGGGCACTTTGGAAATAAGTGTTTTGCTAAAATAGAATGTGAAATTACAAATTCTCTGTTTTTCATGGTACCTCCATGTCAGAAGAGATTGTTTTCTAGGCCTTAATGGCATTTTCATTGCATTATAAAGGAAATGGCATCCTCTATAATTAAAAGAGGAAAGGGAGAGATGCTGCATGCAGTAGATTGCTACTGAATAGGCAACCGGGAGAAAACAATTTATATTCCTTTAGAGTCTAAATTTCCACAAGACCCACAAAATACTCAGGATGGGAGAATCATATTTCTATTTTAATTTTTCCCATGCTACTGAAGAGAGCATAAAGCCACAGGTTTGGAATTTTTTTGGCTTTTATTTTTTTTTTAAAAAATAATATTTTAGATCTAGCTTGGTTACATTTCTCTCTTAAAATGTGATGCCTGGAACTTTTATTCACCCCTTATTTTCTAATCTTTTCATTGTCTCATTTTTCTCAATGATTAGTCATCTGCCAAATGCAATCCATGCAGCTGATACTGGATAGAGAGAGGCAATCATGGTCATGAGCTATTCAGACTTAAAATAGCAACATCAACACCCACGATTCAAATGTAGTTTAAATTAACTCAAATCACACAGCTTTAGGATTCATTTTTCTGGGTACAGTTTTTCTTTAGAACAGTTTCTCTGTAGGAAAGTCTGCATCCCTGCTGTTTAGAGAATACTGCTGGCAGTATCATGACACTGCCATATGACTTTCTAGGCAACATACTTCTCTTATCTACACATGACCAACACATTGATTTTGTTGCCTGCTTGCTCAACTTAGAGGGAATTTAATTTTTTTTTTTTCTCCAAAAATAATCTTAAAATAACCACAGCAGTCTAACTACTGTCTTTGTCATGTAAGAAGTTTTGCTCTCCATTACATTCATGCAAATTAGGTGCTTTATTGCACTAGATTTATTGAATTATTGCTGGGTGTGTTCCCAGCATAAAGGTGTTGTATAAAGTTCAAACATTAAATCCTATTTGTAATGCTCCATTAGGTCATAAGGTTAATTCCTTCTATAACCAGTCTCTGCTTTTTCTATCAACATATGCTTAGAGGGAAATGTTCCCTTCACATTCTTGAGCCCCTGATTCCACCACAAGGTAGTGGTTTCCATATAACCTTTGTGGATCCACACCTCAGATTCAAAAGTACCCCTAGAAATACCTCAGGACAGGAACAGATGTCTGTAAAAGAAGCAGAGGAATTGAAGGTCTGGTTCTTCAGGGCTATTGGTTTGTCAAAATCACACCATAGCTGTGAAGAAATAAAACAAAATCAGGGCTATATTGTGCACTGGTGACTAATTGCTTGTCTGGCTGGCTGGGTTCAGGGGTGGGACTGGGTGACCTGCTGCTCTCCATGGAAGCTCCCCAGCTGGCACCAAGGATGAATAAATGGACAGTAGGAAGACATACTGTGGAGATGAAATGGAAAAAGGGGAGCTATTTGTGCTGCAGACATTCAGCATCTGAACAGCTTCCCTATCCTCTCTTTCCAGAGTGGAAAGATGAGCTCTGGGATTTCCAGAGGACTGATGTTCGAGTCTTAAAATTTACCTCTCAAAGTGTTCAGATTTTGCTATAAACTAGAGAGAAAATTATTTAATCAGAAGCATAAAATCAGACTGAATGTGTGCCCTTTCTGCAAACTGTTTTCATCTGCTATGGATAGTGTTATTCTTTTGGATATGGGACATCCATCCTTCATTTTCATGATATCACACAGACCTGGTTGTACCAAAACATGATGTGGTCCCAGAACAGCAACTGTGATGCTTAGAATGGAAGGGAATAAAAATTCACTCATGAAACAATGGTTCTGATGATGTAATATTGTTTTTTGCTGTTATGACCTACATTAATTTTAATGGTATTTCCAACCAAGAACATTAGATACAAAGAAACCAGCAGTGTTGAGTTGGAATACATTATGGTCTTTGAAGGAAGGCAAACATCATTAATTGCTTCATGTTTTGACACTTAAAGCACATGGAGTTTCCTGTAATATGTATTTATTTACTCTGGATGATTATAGTAGGTCATGTCATCCACCTGGTGTGTACAAGCTAGTTAGAGATCTTTTTTCCCAACTGTTAGAGAATTCATTTAATGAGGTCCAGTTTCTTATCATTAATTTCAAATTAATTTTGAATTTGGGACTCTTCTGTTTGTTCTTTTAGGCACTCAGCCATCTCTGCAGTGCAGGAATATTACATGGCTGGCTGAGCACTCTTCCATGACACCAGACAATTAATTGTACCTTCTGAAAATTTATCAATTATACAGCACCTCTCTGCAGAGCAGAATGTCACAAGAAGTACAGGTGTTTTTTAAAAAGACTTTCAGGATCAGAAACTTAATTTTATAACAATAGAGTGGACTCAAGACTCATAAGACTCATTTGCTCCCCTGGTGAAGCCAAAGCTTTGTGGCTCTTCTTAGAAAGCATCTGAGTCTTAGTGCCCTTCAGCTGGCTGCATTTGAGCTCAGTGAACACATAAAGCTGCAAGGCTTTCTGAGATGCATTATCTGTTCTTAAATGCATGCAGGGCCCTCCTGAACAAAATAATATTATGGAAGAGTTTTGACATATAAATATGAAATTATATTGATGTTGTCATTTCCTGTAGAGGTCAGGAATCAGTGACTCAAGTCATTTTCCAGATAAATATGTGACAATACATATGACTGTTTACTGCTTTACATAAAACCACTGGTGTGACAGTAAAAAATAATTTTCTTTTGTCTGTCTTTGGATTAGCCAACCCAGAAAATTGCAGAGGACACAATCTTAAAAAATAATGCACAAGAACTCAGGGGAAGGAATAAATTTGGCATGGATAACATAATAGAAATCTTGATTAAAGATTAAGACTAATTCTACCAAAATCTTTCCTGAAAGGTATTTTTTAGACATGATTTAAAAACCTTTAAATTCTAAACCACTGCTTAGAGATTTATATTGTAATGCACCACTGTCTTTTCCTTCAGAAAGTTTTCAGCCCAATAAAACTTCCTGACATTTACTCTATTTATATTTTTTCTGTAATGGTAGAAATGAGTGGCTGCATTTTTCTTTCTCTGACTTACTCTCCTATCAGTGATACTTTTAATCTATCAGTGAGATATTTACCACATTCTTGGCTCAGACTTCAGCACCTGTCAGGTTGTCTGACATTATAATCTGCCTAACTTATGCAAAGCTCTCTCATGTTGCTGAATACATCAGGATAATCAGGGCTCTATTGGATTTTTTAAACTATTATTTTAGAAATTGTTTTATTTTTCTTAGTAATCTAAATAATAGCAGAACTGTAAGATGAGCTGAGAATTTATGAGAGGAAGAATTTAATATACATAAGCATTTTTTGGATTGACAGTCTTTAAGAAAGTATTTCAACGTGTCAGAAAATTACAAATGGTCCTCAAAGAGTGGATATGTAGAACAGAAAGTTGACAAAAGATTTTAAAAATAGATGATAGTAATGAAGGAGAAATCATTATATTTCTGAAATATTATTATATTTCAGAAATACATAGATTAAGCAATGGATTGAATTTCCTGAAGCTGTGATGCTTTGCCTTTTCTATGTTATCTAAATCACAGCTGGCCTATAGACATAGTTAGCAAGTCCTGTGGCAAGCTTAATAATTCATAAATCATCTTTTCCTGTATAATATCCCTTGGTTCCCTATAAGCTTACAATATTGATGATGGCTCCAAGAAAATTAATCAGAATGGATGCAAATATAATGACATTCCTTGCCAAGTAGGTCTCATTAATCCAGCAGCAAGTTTTCCGAAGCATTAAGGGTAAACATTTGTAATCCTCTGCCGTAGTTATCAGCACAAGAGCGGAGTGCAGCATAATCAGGATAGAAAACTGAATGACCATTGGGATCACTCTGGGGAAAAAAAAGAGAGAATTCAGTGTCAAACCTCAATATAATCAGTCAGTAAATCAAGGGAAATGTTGGACAACATGTCCACGTAGAACTAGTCAAGGGAGTCAGGAGGGCTCATTGCCTGTGTGGTTTTGGATACAATTCATCTCATTGCACAATAGTCTCAGATTAATGCAGGTGGAGAGCACCTTGAGATTCAGACTGACTTGTTCTCCAGTGGATATACTTTGATCCTGGGTTATGGACACTGACAGAGGGTCATGCAAGATTAATTCCTTGAGTTTCCCACAGTACAGCAGTACCCTGCAACAGCCTTCTTGCTTTGCAAAGCCAAGTGCCTGCATTCCGATTTGGAATTGATAGTTTCTAACTGTATCACAGATATATATGGACAGTCTATATATGCTGGTGTAGCCTACCAGTTCTGCTAACCTAGCCTGATCCAGCTCTGGACAAAATCAAATTCAGGCCTTCAGAAAGATTAGGATCAAGTCTCAAGAAGTCCAGCCTGAGGACACTAAACATTAATTCTTATTTCGGACTGCCAAGCTCTACATGTAAGACCCATGTTATTGCATTAAGGTAATATAAGGGAGCATCTTCACACCTAAGTCTGGGATATAAACCCAAGATTGCAGAATAACCTGCTTATGTGCCTGAGAAAGTGACACCTTGTATTTGTTCACAATAAATTTATAGGCAACAATTTTTTTTTCCGCTGTAGCTCTTCAACTGAAGATGGATGTGCTTGTCTCTTGCCTGAGCCTGCTTGACTTAATAACAAAAGTGAAGGTGGCACAGTGTAACCTCTCATATGAACAATCCAGTATCTGTGCTAAGATTTTGATGGGACTATGCTGATAGGATCAAGTACAATAAAATGAATAGAAAAGGTTAAAAGAACCCAAACAAAAAAACATGGTAATTTTCTGTCCATGAACTTCTCCCAGAAGTAGGACACCTGGCTTGGATCAGCCCTTCATTCAAGAAGAGGTTCAGGACAAATTGATTTCCTTTTAGGGATTCTCCTACTGTTAAGATCAAGTGAAGTTTAAAAAGAACTTTTTTCTTTCCTCTTCCTTGTGTACAATCCTAAATCAACTGATTTGAGCCAAAAGGAAAACTTACATAAAACAGAAGAGGCAAGTGTTTAAATTAATAACAATTTGAAAATTTGCTTTTCTCCTTCACAAGAATAACCCAGTGAAAAATGGGCAGAAATGAGAGTATTTCAGCAGTCTGTTCTAGTAAGACCTACTGTCCATGTGAGCATATAAATAGTTCATTACAGGAAATTAATGAAACTCCCAGGCCTCTCAGATGGAGAATATGAATCACTGCAAGGTTGACAATGCAATATAATGGTTTCATAAAGGACAATTATGGTAAAAAATATGGCATTAATTTATCTCACTTAAAGTAATTTCCCCAACTCTATATTTCAAAGAATGAAAACTATTGCAAAGATTTTTAAATTCATGTATGTCTGCCCTGTCAGGGAAAAATGCATGAATGGATCAAATATTTATCCTTAGGGAGATAACCTGAGACAAAAATATTTATCCTTAGGGAGATAAACTGAGATTCTGAAACTTCCATACACATTAGATTTTATATAAATTCCCTTCTTTAACTCACAGACTAAGGTAAACTCTCTGGGAAACTCCCTGAAGAACATAATGTATGTTCTGTGACAATCTAAATAACATTTTCATCAAATTTTCAGAAACCAAAAGATTCAGCTACAAAAATATTCACACATCTACTTAAGCAAATGCCAAATTTCATCCTTGTTCAACAGAAATTGGAAGCATCCACTGAAAAACTCTTATATGTGTTTTTAGGAAATGGGTTAATTAGCATGAGGACTGAATTATACTTTGTTAGTAGTTTCATGGAAATTATTTCCATGGTTTTCCTAGGATTTTACCTCTCTGATATTTAGCAGAGGCGTAACAAATGAATATGCAGTTATTTCAAGGATTCTCTGAATCCAAATCCTGTCTAACTTTGTGGTAGTTTATTCAATTGCTCACGCCTTGAACTTCTTTTAGAACTGGAACTTAGGAAATTTGAACTTCCAGATTATTTTCTCACACAATATGTTTAAGCATATTGAAACCTTCTCAGTCAAAACCCCTATCCTGTTATTTTAGGGTTGCTCATCTGTTGACAGGCATGCTTTTTAAAAAACCGGAACACATTTTTTGAAGCAGAGTATCAGAACTTGAAAAAACAAGACCAAAATTTGTCTCCTTAAGCCTGCCTTGACAGTGATGTTCAGCTCCTGACAGAACACAGGAACTGCCATAAAACACCCATGTGTACCCAAAACTCCTCTCACAAAAAGGGTAGTGGTAAATATCCTTTCCCTAAATATCTTCCCAGATTCCAGCAATCAACCTTTCAGGGCATTCTTGAAGACAAGGTCATATTTTAAAAAAAATCTCTGCTCATCTTTGTGATGATGTCTCTTGATTTCTTTCATCATTTTTCTTGATTTCTTGTAGGAATTTATCTAATCTTCATTTCGACCGATTTGTATGTGCAGCCTCTTTAACATTCCGTGACAAAAAGGTCCTCGGGGAAAAACACAAGACTACTGGCAAGATGAGAAACTAGGAGGTGAGACAGCTGCAGGCAATGTGTTTGCACTCCTTCCCCCTCATTCCAATGGCACTAGACAACCTCACAAGAATTAACAGAGGCGAATCTGTGCAGACAGAAAAAAAATCTTTTCTTTTTTTTCCTTTTTTTTTTTTCCTGCTGGTATGGCAGTGATTGATATAGCAGCAGAAATCTTTTTGGAAAACAGGTTCTGTTAATAAGAGCCATAAATCTTCTTGTACATACTGAGGAAAAAATAACAAACAAACAAACACACAAACAAACAAAAACATCTACCAGAAGTGAAGAACTTTAAATGTGTGTTGCGAGAAAAGCTTTTAAAAAGCAAGCAAACTTACTAGGGGCAATATAGAACATAAGGAACAACAGAAGGTCATGTACTACTCTGGGTATTTTCTCATCTGAGAATTACAAAACATATGAGACACCACTGCTTCATGATGTAGTTGCCTGCCTGCACCTAAGCACCACTTTAGTGTTTTCAGACATCAAGCTGGTAACTCACATCTTCCAGAGATGATCCAAGAAATCCTGCTGTTCTACTGAAACACAGCAAATATCTTATTTCTTTTACAAATAATGTATTTTCAAAGTTACTCTACTGCCAGCCATAAATTATGGTTAATCTGAGTGCTAGAAACTACTGAAAAATATGTTAATCTGGGCATTTCTCTTCTAACCCTTTATCAAAGACCAAATGAGAGCAGAGGGTTTTTGTAGTGGCAGTCCTGTTCTAGAACACTGATCCCAGTCCTTGCACTTACTCTTGTGATCTCATTATTAAATTGTAGACAGAAATGCCAAATGATAGGTTTGAGTCTGTGAAATGAGGTCTCATCTATGTCACATTTTCATTACTTTGGTAGGAATATATTGCTTGGTCAGCCCCAAAGAGCAGAAGTGAAAACAGATCTACCAGATCACCTCCGTGCTTATTAATGGCCTGAGACTGCTTTTCCGAGCTGGGCAAATCCCACTGTCAGCAGCAAAGCAAGCAGTACAGTTCTCTTACAAAGCATTTATGAAACAAAACCAAGAGAGTCACTGATACCCAAGGTGATTATCAGTCACTCAGCAAAGAGGCACAGCTATTGCTCTGGATCATGTTTCACCAGGACACACTGCGGCAAATTTTTGTAACACAAATTTTCCACTTAACTTGATGGTAGTTCTACTTGAAAACATAGCAACATAACATCAGGACATGCTGCTGTCTCACTTGAGAACATGCAGCTGCCGATAATGTGGTAAAAAAGTAGTTAGTATCACAAAAAAAGTGAACAAATATTTCCAAACACATCTGGGGAGCAAGCAGATTTTATTGGTTCATTGCACATCAATCCTAAAAATGTTATTCCACTGTGTCCCTAAGAGTGCCTTCAGATATATCGAGATATATTTCTGTATTTACCTGGAGGAAGGGAGCAAGCTTTGGATAGCGGTGATAAATACAAGAACAATAAATGCACACACCAAGTTTGATTTGAATACTTCATCCCGCATTTGAGAATACTAGAATAAAAAAAAAACACACACAGGAAAGTAAATCAACTATTAGCACATGCAGTAGTTTCATTAAGGGTGATGTACATAGGAGACATGGAGAAAATTAGCACAATGCACCAATATATCAATAAACCTGAGTTTTTGCTTTGAAATAAAACCCACCAAATAAATTGTTAATAATCTGGTTAATAAATCTGGTATTTTAGCCAAGAGAGCAACAAATGTGTAATTTGCAATACAAAATTGTTCTGCTTAGTTCAAAATTATTTGCTTTAAAAATCCTGAGGTGAATACCTGGAGTTTGTGCTGCTGAGTAGAGTGTTAAACATTTAATTACTTAATAAAATGCTTAATAACCAGAAAACCCACAAATTTCTTCACATGAAGACAAGCACTGGAGTCATCTGTGACTCTGCATGCATGATGGCACAGAGGTGTCTCCATGATGGCCAAATTGAGGCCACAATGCTATTTTATCTAATTTTCTTTTTTTAAGAAAATTACGTAGTTATAATATTCTGTCACTATTTGGGACGCTGGGATGCTGGAAATCTGTATCCTAACTTACTCAAAGGCTGTGTCCACATTGGCAATATGGGCATTCTCCAAATGTAAAAGACTATTTGAGGTGTCTTGTTATAAAGATTTTTTGAAAAATATTTTTCTTCAGCATAACAAACAACTGAGAATGTTAATCAGGTTCCTTTTTTATGGGAATTACCAAGAAATGGACTAACAGACACATCGATAGACCACAGTGGATCAGTTAAAGTGGAAATATTAACTAAGTCCTCAGCTGTTATTTATCATTGCTAATTCAATTAAACTGCAGCTGTTTACAGCAGATGAAGATTAGTCCATAGGAATATTTTTTGCAATTCTCTATACCCTTTATGGATACCCCCAAGGTTTCTTTGTTTTATAAGAAATCCTGCAAAGGGTTGCCCCAGTCATTTTTCTTCCTCTGAACAATAACTTCATTTTGTTTAAACCTCTGCAGTTTAAAAGGGGCTGAAAAAATGTTTATAAGAGTCAAAGCAATATCAGATACCAGAATCTTTCTTCAGAAATTTGGAAATAAGGAAAACTGCTGTTATAAATGCCTAGAAAGCATTATTACATTAAATAAAAAATAAATTATATTTATATATAAAATTAAGAAATGTGTCAAGAACATACACTGAGAGAGTCCAGCTATGAACTAGATTTCATAACTAATTTGCTCTTGAAGGGAGATCCTAGCTCGACATAGAGGATTTTTCCTACATGGAAAGGCATCACCATTGGTCAGGACATCATCTCAGCTATAAACATCTGGTCAAAACAGTCTCAAGTTCCCAGATGGAAAGAAGTTTTCTCACTTCCCTGCTCCCATTTGTCACGAGTAAGAGAGGGGGCTCATTTGTTGGTGTCCCTCCTCTCCTGTGATTATACCTTGTGTCTGCTGTTGGCAGTATCACTTGGGCACGAGTTTTGATAGTGCTCACAGGTAATTCCACTTCATTTTGCTGCTGGAACCCCAGAGGCACTGACCCTGATTTCATGTGCAAGGAAACAGAACTGCATCTGCATAAATAATGGACTAGGGCTTTTTTGAAATAGGGAAAAAGAAAGGTATGTTCCTTAAAATATAACACGAAATCCCAACTCTTCCGTGGGGAAATTAAGGCAAACTAGATGAATGAAACACAAACATAGAATGGCCTGCTGTGTTGAGCATTATGTCAAAAGGATGGATGCTGTGCTCTAATCAGTAAAAACATTTTGATGAGGAATTGTTGACATCCCTAGGCAGCACTGACATAAATGATAAACGTAGCAGTTCTGTAGCGGTCTGCCCCTTAATGACTTGGAGAAGTAATTGAAGGACTGACTAAGCCTCAAGGCCCTTCAAAAAGCCTGGGGAGGCATGTAGCCAACAGAGCTGTGTAGAATGGTGGGAAGAATCATGATGTGACCTTGTCTGCAGTGAAAATCTTCACTGCAGCATCCCACAGAGCCACCTGTGCTGGTGTGACTTGCTCATGGTGCAGTGAAGGCTCCCATGGGGCTTGGGCCATTTGTCTCACTGCTGGGAGGGAGATGTTTATCCATGTGCTTGCCCAGCCTGCTGGCTGAAACTAAGGCAGGCAGGTTTCTTCTGTTGAGTAATGCTGCTTATTCCTCACCTCTCTCTTCCAAAGCCTCTTTGAAATGGAAGTACCAGTAAAAAGACAGGCTTCACATCTTCCCCTAAAGAAATATTTGTGCACTGGGGAGGAATGTTTTTGGTGTTATCCTCACTGCTGCTCTTTGACTCAGATAGGACCTTATAGATGAAAAGGTTTTTTTCTTCATCAGAGTTATGCTGGAAAAGTTTCTGCAATACAGAAGAAGGATGGAAGAATATGTTTCAAGAAGTCTAAGACAGGAGAGGAAGCAAACTCCTGAGAAGACCAAAGAGTTGACAGAAATCCAGTTGCTGACCAATGTGGAAAAGTTGTTGAAGAGGCAAAGAGTTTTCCCAGTATCTCTTGCAGACCTCCTTGCAACTGGAGTTGAGGGAAGGAGGTGATGCCTGTGTCTGATGAAATACAGCAAGCAGGAAGAGCAAAATTGTTTTCCTACTCATGTAATTTCTATTTATCTTACCAGCCAGAAATTCTGAAACAGAAACTCAGATATTTAGATCTAATATTTGAACTAAGAAAACATGTACTTTGAAATTCAAAGCTCTTTTGATATTTCCAGTGTGCTCACCTCACAGAAAATACGTAAATGTTTCATGTCTAAGCCCAGTCTGTTTTCTAATCCAAGTACAAATATGCAGGAAGACTTTGAATATCCTTATACAAACTTTACATTGGAAACTTTCTTTAATAACTCCTTACCAGTATGTACAATTCCCTGCCCTGTGCTTCTGCTTTACCCTGTATGAAAGTACATGGTATGGATATTTTCACGTTGCTGATATTTAGGGAGATCATGATGATGATGATATATTTTAATTATTGGAATAATCTGAAGTAGTATCAGATTTTCCTATGAGCTATTATATATTTGGAAAGTTTAGTATCTTTTCATGCTACCATCAGAAGTATTTTCCTGTGATGTGAGGCTCTATCTGCCTAGATGCTATTTGTGGGAAAAAAACTCAAGCAAAACTGAGGGTGAATTGTCTCTAAATGACATATCAACTGGTAATGAGTGAAATAGAGGTTAATAATGACTAGTCCATTTTGGTAAAGGATCTATAAAATATAACCAGGTGGGGTCCTGCACAAATCCTGTGAAAAACGAAGTATTGCAGAATTCATATGGAAATACACACGATGCCTCAGAGACATAACCCATTCTCTAATGTAACTGCTACTGCTTGCTGTGGAATGCAATTCTATCACATAGAAGGATAAAGAGCAATGAGAAAAGAGAGGAGTGACAAGATGTTCCAGTGGCCTAAACTGCAGTGACATAGCAGTTATCTCAACCAGTGTAAACCAGGATCTGTGCTAGCCCCATGGTGGTTTTGTTCATGTTGATTCCAGAATTGTTTTGGTTTGTTTTCCTAACCTTTTGAAGTCTTAAAGGAAGAAAACCAGAAATTTCATGGCTAGTGTAAACCTGATATCTGGAATTGCTTTATAGTGAAAAAATTCAAATGAACTGTTTAAACAGACTGTTTAAACAGAAGTCCAGTTTAACATTTCAGATCCATTAATGTCACCCCATGATCCCACATCATGCTAGTCCTGTTACAGGAGGAAGAAATACAGTTTACTGTCCATGTGGTTACTCACTTTTCTGTCATTTGAGGTACAGAACATGAACACAGCTCTCACTGAACAAGGTAAATGAACACTTCTTGGCCAGGATCTCAGCTATGGGGGCTGCTTTTTCTGCCTCCTGTAAAGTCTGACGTGAGAGGCACTAACAGATTATAGAAATGAGTATTTAGCAGATGCCAGTGCTAGCTGAAAGTGTGGTGGCTAAATGAGAGGGCACAAGATTTTACATGGGGGTGTTTACCAGTCACTGAGCTGGGCAGAAGGTGGGTGTCAGCCAAGGGGACAGCAGTGGGAGAGGGGAGGCACAGAGACAAGGCTGACTCAGACACACCATGGGGAGCAGCTCAAGGTGCTGCTGTAGAAAGTCATGTAAGCAGTACCAGGATGTTAATGGCTAGAAAAAAACCCCATAACTCCAGACTGAAAGGTTAGGGGTGGGGGGAGCAGAGGAAAAAGGCTGCTGAAAGATCTTTGTGATACTCTAATTTAAACCTGAGTTTGGTGTGTTTCCTAAATGGACTGGAAGAAGGGAGAAGTGGTAGTCACAAGATAGCATGAAGGAAATAGCTACTTTCTGCAGGAAAATGATTCAAATATTGCTTTTTCCATGACTTCCTGTGACCTATGGTTGAACACTAAAGTTATAAGGACAAACCTGTAATTATTGTACAGGCATGCAGGTGGGAAGGGATATTTCCCATGTTGTCTCACAAGACAATTGATCCTGTCTACAACAAAGAGGACCCTGTGATTCATCTTCCCTCAATCCACATAATTCCTTTGTATCCTGGTATACATCCAGGATTCCCCATCACCATCTGAGCACACTCATGATGTCCCAGCACCCTGAACAGAAGCAGGGATGCTGCTGACCAGAAGCTGTCCAGCTGTTGGAGGTGCACGTGCCAGAACAAATAAAGCAGTGGTGATATTTTTTGAAACTTTACTCCTTCCTAATATGAGAAACCAGATTAATTTATGGAACAGAAGGAAGACTCAGTCAACTTTGCTGGATGGATTTTATGTTTCTATTGTCTGTGCCTACGGGTTGGGACTAACACCCAAGGAAATATTGAATGAAAGGATAATTCTCCGAACACTGCAGCCCAATTCTCCATTGGAAATGTTGTACTGGGAAGAAAATGTATCAAACTTCCCAAAATGTTGACTTTTAATAGACTTTTTTTCATTCAGATGCAATTAAAAACTTTATTAATATTTTAAATCTAACCTATATAATGT